ACACGAGGTTCTCCCGCTGGGGCAGCAGCTCACCCTCTTCCCGGCGAAGCGGCGCGGCCGGGGAGTGCTTGTGTCCGGGAAGAGCTTGTCCAGGCGGGGCTCCCGCTTCTCCAACATGCCGTGACAGGAGGTGACGGTCAGCAGGTCCACGCGCAGCTTGTCCAGGGAGTGGCACAGCAGCTCCCGGTGGTAGTAGACGGAGTCGAGGGGGCTGCGGGGTGAGGGCAGTGGCTCAGCGACCACAGCCCCGAGCTCGGCGCCCCAGGAGCCAGCGGCCCCCGCCTGACCCTCCCCTGCTGCCGGGACAGCCCAGCGCGGGGCCAGGCAAAGAGAGAAACCCGGTGGGGACCAGCTGCAGGGCTCGATGCCGCCGAGATCCCCCCGATGGCCCCCGCAGAGGGGTGGGGGGGAGCAGCCAGCCCTGCCGCGATCCCCAGAGCCTCGGGGACCCGCAGAGGCTCCGATCTCGCCGCTGAGCGACTGCTGGGGGTTGAAGCTCTCATCGCTCTCCACAAAGCCCTTTCCACAAACCCCTCGTCTAAGAAAAGGCACTTTGGATCCCCGCCCTGCGGGAAGTCTGCGGGGCCAGGAGGGCTTTTATCCGCTGAGGCACCTGGAGACCGACGCTGCCCTCCCTCCCCTCAGCCAGGCATTAGTTCTCCTCTGATTTCTGAGGAGAAATTCTTGAGATGAGAGGAGCTTCCTCACACGACCCACGACATGCCCGGTGTTCTGGGACCGAGACCTCCCACTGCCCCAGCGGCTGTTGGGGAAGGGAGCAGCGGGGCAGAGACACCCTGGGCCCTCCCGCAGCTGGGAAAAGGGGAAAAGCAAAGAGGGTCTGGGACCCTGAGATGCCCCCCAAGGGCTGGGGTCAGTCACAGCCCTGCCACAGCTTTGTCTGCCTGATGGGAACCTGCCCTGGGGGATGCCAGGGGCAATCCCAAAGCAATAAAGGGTCCCCCGAAGCAGTACAGGACCCCCCTGAAACAATAAAAGACCTCCTGAAACAATAAAGGGATCCTCCAAGTCAAAAAAAGATCCCCTGATGCAATACAGGGACCCCCCCAAGCAATAAAGGGCCCTCCAAGGCAAAAGAGAACCCCTCAAAGCAAAACAGGGATGCCCAAAGCCCCTCAGAAGCGCATGCTCAGGGGGAGCTGCTCGTGCAGAGCTGGGGCTCAGAGGAGCAAAGCCCCAGGCAGCTCCTGAGGGGGAGTGGGGGGCACAGAGACCCCCTTCCTCTACTCGGAGCTGGCCAACACAGCGAGGGGCAATGCCAAAGAGGGAGGGGGGGCAGGAAATGGGGGC